ATGTTTGAGTCGGTGATCATCACACCCATCTACATTAGCAATCTGTAGGTTAAAAACTCAACAATAAGAATAGTCTCAAGTGCACTTTGTATAGCTCCTAGCAGGTGCACGATACTGCGTGTGGTGGCCATGGGTTGGGGGAGTGGCAGAACGTTGATGATTTTCACTTACACACTGTAGACAGAAATTCCAAATCCGAAGTCGGATCTACTGAGGTATGTGGTTTCACAAGGTCCCCGGAGGCAGCTGTGACCACATGACACAGGTCACGCCAAGACTCTTAGCCTTCCTCCTGTCATGTTTCTAGCTGGAAATAACTGGTCTTGGGACTTAGATTTACAGGGTATTGAGTCACTACTGCACATCTCTCATCTCTTTTACAGCCAACATTCGAGAGAAGGGGATGAGGCTCCCGCAGAACACGGAATATTTGTGTGCAGGGTCACCCTGCACAGAGCACCCCCACGGAGGAAGGGAACGCTTCTGTGGAAGACGGCAAGCGGGGAGTGGAGCTGCCGTGGAAGCAGCCCCAGCCCGCAACCCCCGCCCCACAGCTGGCCTTCCAGCTTGTCCCCAGGGAGGTTTCAGGGAACGGGGCTCTTCCCTCAGGCTGAGGCAGGCTGGAAGTCAGTAGGATTCAGGAGCCCCACCCCAGGCTGCCAAGACCGCATGCCTTTCTGACTGCTACGGGGCTAGTGGGTGAGTTTCTGGGGTAGCCCCTGGTGCAGCTCCCAGGGAGGGCATCCCTGAGCATCCAAATCTCACACTGACTCCAAGTGTACCCCAATTCTAAAGGACCCGAGGCCAGCCTGGTCAAGTGGAAGCCCCGTGGGTATCCCTGACTTCAGGTGAGACACCCAGGTACAGCAGGCAAATGAAGGCCACTTTGAATTGCACTGTGTCCAACCCTTCACCCTGCCTCCCTGTCAGTCACCCGCAGCCTCAGCAGGTGCACAGGGAACAGAATTTCACACTGAAGTTCAAATCCTGAGGCCTCGGCAACCCCAGTGTGTGGGGAGCAACCCGGACTAGACTAAGTTACTGGAATTAAGACTTATTCTATGCATCTGCTCTCCCACAATATGGCACTGGGAGAGAAGTAAACAGCTTCTACACAGCTGCCTCCAGTTCAGCCAATAAACTGTAGGACTTGCTCCTGATTGGAGGAGAGCAGCATGCTCGGCGTGTGGGCAGCCGAGTTGGGATTGGCAGAGGAGGACTATAAAGGAGGAGAGAGACGGCATGCACCAGGGAACATCTAAGGGGAACACCTAAGGGGAACACCTGTGCAGCCCCCGAGAGAGCCGGCCGGCGGTGTGCCGCTCCCCTGCGGAAGTGGGGAATGTGGCAGGGGGAACCGCCCTTCCACGGAGGTGGAAGGGACAGTAGCCAACCCGGGAAGAACCAGCAGCAAACCCGGGGAGGGCCGAGCAGACAAAAGAACAGCGCAGGGTCCTGTGTCGTTCCTCCACGAAGAGGGGGAGCGACACCAGTGCAGCCAGCAACTCCTGTTTTGCACAGGTAGAGCCTTGTACTTCATGCCCGCCCTCCCTACCTCCCCTTCTGCCCGCGCCCCAAGGCCCCCTTCTCCACCTGGCTAGACAGAACCATTCCCTCTCACGGGCCTGAGATGTGGATCCTCTATCTAAGCGGCCTGGCGTCCTCACTCGCTCTGCTCCCCGGCTGAAGACCATTGCTGTGGGCTCTGTCTCCATCCTGCACCTTACACTTCACCAGTGACCCTTCTCTCAGGTCAAGATCGCTCCTCTCCTCAGCCCAGCTGTGCCATCTTCAGCCCCCGCATTCGCAGTACACAGGTCCAAACCCAGGGCAAGCCTCAGTCAACTTCCTCAAAGAGACGGGGCTGGCGCGGGTCCCACGCTACCCGGAGACAGGGCTAAGGCTCATCAAGTAGGTGCTTTAGAGCTGGCTCAGCCTTACAGAGGTCAGCACCCAGGAGGCCAAGGGCAAGGACGCTCAGGCGGCTCATCCGCCTCATTTCCCGCCAGGCCCCTCTCTGGGCTGCTTCCAGAGCCATGATGTCCTCGGCTGTCCTTCCCCGGACGGCTCCGCTGCGTCAGAAACACCTGCTTTAAGCACACATGTGCTCCTTTGCACCCAGCACAGAGGCCAAGGCCTCCCCTCCACAACAGCACACATGGGACCACCTGCTTCCGACTGTGAGCAGCACCCCTCCCCCCAAGCCAGGCCAACAACCATCAAGGAGGGAGAAGCATGGAGAAGAATGTGGCAACTTCATAACTCTTCAGACCCCCAGACTGCCCTCGCGGCAGGCACCCGGAGAGCGCTTCCCATAGGAGCAGGGACTCAAGTTCACGTCTACCACCTACTGGCTGGGCGACCCGGGACGAGCGACTCCACCTCTGTGCCTCATTTGCCTCCTCCAGGCAATGACGTGATCACAGCCACACAGCACAGGGCTGCGGGAGAAACGCAGCAGCACATGTGACGTGTGTAGGACAGAGCCAGGCCCCCCCCCACCGCCCCGGAGGGGCTCAGAGTCCGCCAAGGACCAGGACACCTAACACAAAAGACCACACAGGCAGGGAGAGTCCCCACCCTGGTGCCACAAGGCTCCGGGATAATAACGTCTCCACTTGGAGTGAGCCCACACGGCACGGCTGTGAGCCGGCTTCCTCCTCACAGACACCTGCGCATAGGGCCGGGCGTCCAGCGCAGTGGTTAAAGCATGGCTCAGGACGCCCGCATCCCATATTGGGACGGGATAGGTCTGCATTCTGGCTCTGCTTCTCTCCTAGCTTTCTGGTAACTCACACCCTTGCAGACAGCAGCTGGATGGGTTGGGTGGCTGCCATCAGTGTGAGAGACCTGGACTGAGTTCCAGGCTCTCGGCTTCAGCCTGGCCCAGCCTTGGCTGTGGCAGGCATCTGGGGATGAGGATGCCTTCTGGCCCAGCTCTTGTCTCTTGCTGACTCTCTGCCTTTCAAGTAAAGAGAAATTACGTGTATTGATACCTATTGTTTGGATCCATTGCATAGACATGGAAACAGGTTGACAGTAACTGGGCAGTCACCCCCCTAGGAAGCTGGTAGACAGGACCCAAATCCAGGCCACTGCCCCCAAAATCAACGCTGTGAACCTCGGCTACTGAACAGCATCCAGCTTTGAAGGGGCCGCAGAAATATGGCACGTAGGCACCCCACTGTCTCTGCCCAGCAATTGTCATCTGAACAAGAAAGAGCATATAGTTGTTTTTCCAATTTATTTGTTTGACAGGCAGACAAAGCATGATCCCATTTGCTGGTTTACTCCCCAAATGCCCACAACAGCTGGAACTGGGCCAGGCCAAAGCTGGCAGCCGGAAGTTCACCCTGGTCTCCCATGTGGGTGGCAGGGACTCCACTACTTGAGCCATTTCTGCGTTAGCAGGAAGCTGCAGTCAGGAGCCGAAGTGAGCATTAAACACAGGCATTGCAACCCGGGGACATGGGCTTCCCGACAGCCAGACCAAAGCCTGCCCCTGGGTTTTTTTTTTTTTTTTTTTTTTTAAATGGACAAGGCTGCTCTCTTCTTGGAGTCAACAGCATCAAAGACTTTCCTGCTCCACAGCTGTGCCCTCCTCTGCCCCTTGAAGTGGACCAGGCCTTTCCCAGGGGAGCCCAGCTTTCAGGGAAGAATCCCTGTGCTTGGTGTGGCCCTTACGTTCCTTAGCAGGGACCCGTATGACAACAGCAAAGCTAGGGGCAGTTAGCATCTGGTTTTTTGTTAATATAAAGCAAGGGGCTACTCACTAAGTGCCTCCCGATAGAACACTGCTGTAAACATTTCCGAAGGCCCAAATGCCTTCTCAAGTATCAACCGGCTCAACTTCCCTGGGGAACTCCTCATTTAGACGGCCAGTGCACATGTTGCTAAGGTCACGTGAGGCCACTAATAGCAAGAAATCCGTCAAGCATCCCACTGCCACCGACACACCAAACCCTTCCTCTCCTGTACAACTTGACGCTGTGGTTTAGCTTAAATAGGGTACGTCTGGGACAAGAGCCTGCCACAGTGGTTGAGACACTACTCAGGATGCCCATGTCCCAGGTCAGAGTGCCTGGATCCACTTGCAATCCAGCTCCCTGCCACTGTGCACTCCTGGACGCAGCAGGTCGTGGCTCAAGTACTTGTGTCCCCCCTGCACACACACCCATAAAGACTCAGATTGAGCTCCCAGCTCCCGGCTTGAGTTTGGCCCAGTCCTGACCATGTGGCCATCTGGGAATTCGCTCTGATTCTCAAATAAATCATTTTAAAAAAATATATAGTATAGGGGCCAGCACTGTGGTGTAGCAGGTAAAGCTGCCACCTGTAGTGCCGGCATCCCATATGGGCGCTGGTTCAAGCCGGCTGCTCCACTTCCAATCCAGCTCTCTGCTATGGCCTGGGAAAGCAGAAGAAGTTGGCCCAAGTGCTTGGGCCCCAGCACCCAAGTGGGAGACCCAGAAGAAGCTCCTGGCTTCAGATCAGCACAGCTCTGGCCGTTGTGGCCAGTTGGGGAATGAACCAGCAGATGGAAGACCTCTCTCTCTGTGTAACTCTGCCTTTCAAATAAATAAATAAATCACTAATATATATCCAAATATATATTATATAGTATGCCCCGTCCCCAAACTCATACAGGAGGTTAAACCCCAAAGTCTTATGCTAATGGTACTAAGAGGCCAAACACTTAATCCAATTACGGCGAGGTCTTTGGAAAGTGATCAGAGTGGATTAAATCCTGGCTGTGGAGTCCCATGGCTGAAACCTGGTGGTTTCCCTAGAGGACAAGACACCAGACAGACAGACACCACCACCCCCCACCTCGTTATCTTGCTAAGTAAACGAGAAGCTAACCAACACACGGGGCCCCAGAATGGCAAAGTGGCTCCCCCTCCTGCTTACAGGGTGCCTTTCAGAGGGCAGAGGAAGCTGCCTTCTCCCTTGCTGCTAAGCCAGGTGTGGGTGCCCCAGGAGGACGGGACGACTCTCACCTGTGCGGTGAAGAAGGCTGGGGTGAGGGATCCCGACGGGAGCGCTGGGCTGTTGAGGGCAATGGAGCCGATGTCGCTGCCAGAAAGCACCAGCGGGGGCGCGGAGATCTCCAAGCCTTTGGGCTTTTTGGCCTTTGGGGGAAGAGACGGAGACTTGGTCTTGGAGCCCGACGACAGGTTCAAGGGCTCCAGGGAATCCGAGTCATGGCAGGCCGCCTCCAGGAAGAGGCTTCTGTGTTCAGAAGGGAGGGGCGAATTGGGGGACAGGGAGGGGGACCGAGACGAGGAGGAGGGCGAGGTGGACGAAACGCTGGCGGCATTGGGCAGCATCAGAGAGGAGATCTTGGCGGAGACAGACGAGGCCAGGAAGGCGGAGGCGGCCGCAGCCTCGGACGTCGAGGGCAGGGACACGACGGGCCGGGTGCTGTGCTTGTCGGTTTTATTGGTCACAAACCTGATCACAGTCCGGACCTCTTCCACGGGGGGGCTGTCTTCGGGCGGCTCCTCCAGCTTCTCCGTCTTGATGGCCTTGAAGGCCTCGGGCGCGTTCTGCAGGGAGTTGATGGTGAAGGAGGAGTAGAGGCCGGAGTGGATGTACTCGTTGCGGCCGGCGCCCTTGAGCGCGGCCAGGCCGTGCTTGTGGGCCTCGCGGCCGTGCACGGGCCCCTTACAGTCGCTGTCCTGCAGCAGGAGGCCGTCGCGGCTGATCTCCACGGCGTGCGGATCCATCTTGAGGATCTCCGGGAAGGAGACGAACTTGTACACGAACTTCTGCCCGATCACCTTCTTGATGATGTTCTGCGAATACAAAAGAGGAGACGTTTAAAACCCGAGCGCGCCACCGAAACCGAGGACCGAACGGGCTCCGCGGAACGGCTGACGGTTGTCAGGACGAGCACAAACGTTCCTGATGGACAGGTGGCAGGAGCGGGAATTAATAACTTAGAGGCGGAGGAACCGGTTTTGCATTCCAGCTCTGCCTGGCCCAAGGGGGCGATCTGCAGCAGAGCGATTGCCATTTTGAGTTTCCTCATCTGTCAAATGACGATTGCTACACTTAATAATACAGGAACCAGTGCCATTCGCTAAGCGCCGCGTGGCTGGCATTACTCATAGCTTATCTCATAGAATCAGCACAGCCACCCTAAGAGGAAGGCAGGAGGGTTCCCGTTTTTAAAGTTAGGAAATCAGCGTAGAACACTTTAATAATTCACACAGTCACCTGGCAGATAAGTGTAGAGGCAGCATTTCCTCCACCATAATACAGTATTGTCTTACCTGCCTCTGGGAGCCGTGAGAATTCGTGAAATAATAATGGGAAAACATTCCGTAAGCTGGAAGGCATTATAGAAACATAAGTTATCATCACCAAACACCACAGTGTTTTCTTAAGCCCTGTAGCCATTTTTTTTTCCTTCCTTTTCATTTTTGGCCAAGAAAGCCACTGGAGGAAAAATGACTGTCCACTTAGATATTTATGGCATTCATATGGGATCTCAGGATTCTTGGATCCACTTCGGGCTCTTCAGTTTATGGCTGCTGTCTTCATTGGGATGTATGTAAATGAAAACCAACCGTGCTTGTAAAAGTTTTCACAGCCCTCTGGGGACAGCCTGAGCTGATCTTGGGCTTTATTAAATTTATTATTTATATGAAAGGCTGTATTGATCTCGGGGTTTATTAAGCCGATACACGCATTCCCCACAGAATCCACCAGATTCCACGCTCACCGTGCGCCTCACCCTGTGGTTGACTCGCTAGGGTTCAAGGTGCTAGGGGGAGGGACAAAGACAGTCCCCACCGAGTACAAAGCACTAGCACCATCCTAGGGGACAGGGCTTCTGCACACTTCTTAGCAACCGCTCCTTCTGATAACTTGGTATAAGTGGGTTTAAAAGAATGTTGTCGGGGGGCGGGGGAAGAGCCAGAGAAACAGCCCCTACTGAAGCCCCACCTGTACCAGGGGCCGCGTGCACAAGATGGCGGGAGACCTGCACGCGGCTGCTTCCGACCAAGACACAAACGAGCCCAGGGACGGGGAAGCACGTGCCCAGGAGGCACGACGCTCCACCAGTTCTAAAACCCGATGCTTTCACATTTCCACACGGATCTGGGTGGAAACCATCAAAGCACCCCTTAAGAGAGATGAAATTTAATTCAATTTGGGGGTTTTCCTTGGGGGCGAGGATGAGGGATCGTAATTTGGGTCTCAAGACACATCAGTCAAGTCTTCTGCCTGCCAGCCTGTTCTCTCTTGGCAGTCGGATTTGCCTTCTGTCAACCTCAGAAGGGTGGGCACCATGTCGCCGAGCACCTCTGGGAGGAATTCCAAGGCAAGGACCCACACGGTCACTCTCAGCGCAGGAAATCCCACTCAGGCGTCCTGGGGGAACCTCCTGTGGCACCAGCGCCCCGATGGCTTTGGCCGCGTGCTGGACTCTGGACCGCAACAGCACCACCGAGGCCCAGGCACCGCATCAAACCACCGCTGAGCAACGTGGAACCTCCTACCTGGGCCTCGAGGGTGGCGCCTCTGCCCAGGGCAGCCCCGGGTCTGGCTAGACAGGGTTTCTCAGAAACCCAGGTGCCAGCAGGGACAGACTAATAGCGGTGTCTCTGGACGCACTTGCCCAGCCTCAGTTTCTACCTCGTGCTTGCCCAGAGGGTTGATGTGCCCCCGGCTAATGTTCTTAGGTATTTTGGTTTTTAGCTAATAATGGTTTCTTCCATAGAGGAAAATTTTCTTTCCTCAGGCAGGTCAAACATTCATTTGAATTGGGTGAATTTTTAGAGCCTAAACAATTACACAGAGAAAAGGAAAAGAGATACCATATGGTCTGAATCATTTATCCTAGTAGGTCTTGTAAACTAATTAAAAAAAGAAAACTTCAATTTTATACAGATTCCCAATATGATGTCTGAGTGGGGATTATAACCTGAGCAAACCAGGAAGTAATCTGGGGCCATGCTGAAAGTCATAGAAAACCTCTTTCCTCCTCAAAAAAATGAGCAGGAAGTGAAAGACAGTCTCGGACAGAGCTGGGCCTTGACATAGGTTGGGGGTGGGGAGAGCAGATTACAGAGAGAAAGGGAAAGAGAGAGAGAGGGGCAGGGATCTTCCAACCTCTGGTTCACTCCCCAGATGGCCAAAAAGTAAGTAAATAAAAAAGAACATGAAGAATCTGAAGTATTTTACATGTTTAAAAGGAAGACAGTGGGCATTTTAACAGCTGGACTGCAACTACCGTAGCATCCTAACCCCTACGGTGAATATAAAATAAGGAGGTGCTGGGAGGGGGCCTGCAGGAGCTGCTCTTGCTGGGTTGGGGGCAGGGTTTACATAGCGATGGGGACAACTTCATGAGTCAAAAGAAGGCAGTAGCAGCCTTTGCAAAGAACTGGGGCAGGTCCTGCTTCCCTAGGGACAAACAGGACGAGGGGGTCAGAAGTGGCTACCAAGACACTTGGCAGCGTCTGCCAGGGCGAAGGCTGGAAAAGGAACTCAGCAGCAAGCAGGGATGGGGCTGGGGCAGAGTAAAGCAGCCCCGTCTGTGTGTGTGTGTGCATGCATGTGCACGCATGCTCGCGCACATGCGCCTAACTCAGCACCGGGTTGGGGTAAAGCAGCCCCGTGTGTGTGTGAGTGAGTGAGAGAGAGAGAGAGAGAGAGAGAATGTATAAGAGAAAAGCAGTTTCGTGTGTGTGTGTGTGTGTATGCCTAACTCAGCACGGGGTCAGAGTAAAGCAGCCCCATGTGTGTGAGTGTGAGTGTGACTGTGAGTGTGAGAGAGAGAGAGAGAGAATGTATGAGAGACAAGCAGCTTCGTGTGTGTGCGCCTAACTCAGCACCGGGTCAGAGTAAAGCAGCCCCGTGTGTGTGTGTATGTGTGTGCCTAACTCAGCACCGGGTCAGAGTAAAGCAGCCCCGTGTGTGTGTGTGTGTGTGTGTGTGCGCACACACACCTAACTCAGCACCAGGTCAGAGTAAAGCAGCCCCGTGTGTGTGTGTATGTGTGTGCCTAACTCAGCACGGGGTCAGAGTAAAGCAGCCCCGTGTGTGTGTGTGTGTGTGTATGTGTGTGTGTGTATATGTGTGTGTGTGTGTGTGCGCGCACACACACACCTAACTCAGCACCAGGGATGTCTGCTTGCAGCAGGGAACGGGAAAGGAAGCCAGTCCTCTGTGGCTGGAGGATTAGCGAGAACATGGGCTCAGAGGTGTGGGTCCTGGGCAGCTGGACTGCCAGCCCCTTCTCCCCTCTCTTTGGGCAGACCTCAGGAGGCTATCATCAGTGGCACATACAAGGCTACTTCAAAAAAGTTCATGGCAAATGAAGTTCCAAGTTAATTTTGGTGCAAAAAGAAAAAACTGAAATCCATGCATACAAGGGATCTTTCAAATGTTCATGGAAATACGTATTATACAAAAAATGCATGGATTTCAGAACTATTTTGCACCGAAATATCACTAAATTCTATTTTTCACAAGTGTTTAAGAACTCTTGTATGTTTTTTATCTCTGGTCTCTGAAGAGAAGTTGCCTTCCAAGACAGTTCGCTAAGAAAACTTAAAGTTTAGGAATCTTAACAGCTATGATTTAGTGAGCATATGTTATTTATCAAGCTCTGTTCTAATAACTTTTTAAGATTTATTTATTTATTTGAAAGGCAGAGTTACAGAGAGGCAGAGACAGAGAGAGTTCTTCTATCGGCCGATTCACTCCCCAGATGGCCACAGTGGCCAGAGCTGGGCCTATCAGAAGCCAGGAGCCTGGAACTTCTTCCAGGTCTCCCACATGGATGCAGGGGCCCAAGCACTTGAACCATCTTCCACTGCTTTCCCAGGCACGCATTATCAGGGAGCTGGGTTGGATTGGAAGTGGAGCAGCCAGGATCCCCCTCCCCCTATCGCCCATATGCCCATATGGATGCCAGTACCACAGGTGGCAGCTTTACCCACTACACCCTGCGCCAGCTCCATGTTCTAAGAACCTGACAAGCTTCAACTCCATGAATCCTGAGGCTCTGGGACTATTATTATCCCCATTTGAGGGATGAGGAAACTGAGGCTTAGAGACTACACATCTTCTATTAGCAGCATGCGCTTGGGGAAGACAGATGGCAGCCTGACTCCTGACCCACTAACAGAGATCCCACGATTCCAACCAACTTAGGGGGCCCAGGACCACAGCACTTGGCAAGGCTGCTTATTATGAGTGATGAAGATTTTCAGAAAAAGTCTGCTTTTCACCTCTTCTATCCCAGACTCACAAGTATTTGTTGCTTCTAGTCGCCTGGCAACCTGACAAATGCTGGCCTGGGTCTGGCTGAACCAAGTGACTTTCCAGTGAGATCTGAGACAGTTGTAAGGGAGGCCAGCCTCTCTCGATGACATCCCATTAAATGCATATTCACAACCAGGGCCAACTCGCCACTCAGCATCTGGGGTGAGGATACATGCGGCAAGGGCGGGATCAACTCAGTGAAACGGGGTAAGCAACACCCCCCTAACACAGAGCCCCCGGGGCAGCCTCAGGCAAAGGATCAGAGGGGCCGGCGCTGCAGTGCAGCAGGTTAAGCTACGACCTGCAGCACCAGCATCCCCCTTGAGACCCAGCTACTGCACTTCCAATCCAGCTTCCTGTTCACGTGCCTGGGAAAGCAGCGGAGAATGGCTCACACAGTTAGGCCCCTGCATCCGTGTGGGAGGCTTGGATAGAGTTCCAGGCTCCTGGCTTCAGCCTGACCCAGCCCTGGCGATTGCAGCCATTTGGGGAGTGAACCAGTAGATAAAGCACT